ATATATATATATATATATATATATATATATATATATATGTATGTGTATATATATGTGTATATATATATATATATATATGTGTGTGTGTTTGTGTGTATATATATATATATATATTTTTTTTTTTAATAAATATATATTTTTTTTTAAATTGTAATTCTCCATTTCTTCAAATATTGTAAAAAGAAATAGCCTTCATGTAAAAATAAAAGTATACATTTTAAATTAAATTTATAAAAATATCTAACATAAATAAACAACCATTAAAAAAATTCTGTTAAATTTTACTCAAATATAGAAAAATTCTGATCTTATTAAAGTTTAAATTAAATTGATAAAAATATTTAACATTAAAAAAAAATCTGTTAAATTTTACTCAAATATAGAAACAGTCTGAACTTATTAAAGTTTAAATCAAATTGATAGCGAAATGTAAGTAATCAATCTAAAATTAGTTTGAATGCACTTTATTCATTAATATTAAAATATTAAAGTATTTATGGGACGAAGTGAGTGTAATTGATGGGCTGTAGTGTGTAGATGGAGCCTGTAGGTGTCAGCAGAGCTTCATCAGTGTGTAATATAAACTCAGATTGTGTTTATTAAGACTTCTGTGTATTCTCCTGTTCAATTTCCCAATCAATAAACCTGAATAATAATTAGTCATTAGATTTATTATGACTGTTTGCTTTGTTTTCTACTTGATTGATCTACAGTGTTCGAGTACGAGTGTGTTGTGCTGAAGCGAGTCTGTGTGTGTTTCAGGTGCTGCACACGGCCGAAGCCTTCCAGAAGATTCTGCGTGAGGAAGAGAAGAGGAGGAGGAAGGAGGAGAAGAGGAAAGAGATCCGCAAAGGCCCGCGCATCTCTCGCTCCCGCAGCGAGTTATAGAGGCGGGAGGAGCTCACACTAATCAGGGAGCCTGTGCTGATCTCTCACGGGCCGCGACAGGTTTACAGGTTTCACTACGAGTCTCTGAACACTTCAATCACTTCTGCTTGATTGAGGAGGCTCTGCGCTACATCCTCTGCTGTGTGTGTGTGTGTGTTTAGTGCTGTAGCTCTATACCTGTTTGAGGGGGAGGGGCCATGGGAGGGAGAGGGGTCAGATTAAAGGGGTAGGTAAGAGTGGGTATAGTGAGTGGGCGTGGTCTAAGTAGGCGGAGTCTACTGGTCATGTATAGTGGGTGGAGCCATCAGTGGGACAGTTAATAGTGAGTGGGAGTGGTCTGAGTAGGCGGAGTCTTCTTTGCAAGGGTAGATGGAGTGGATGTGGTCATGTATAGTGGGTGGAGTCATCAGTGGGAGAGTTAATAAGGAGAGGTTTAAGTGGGCGGAGTCTTTGCAAGGGTAAATTGAGTGGGCGGAGTCTTTGTGTCTCAGATGAAGGTATTTTGGATTATTTCGATATTTAACACAAAGTTGATACGTTTTGATAATATAAAGTCAGAAATTGTTGAAGTTTCCAAACATATGAAATCCTTTTGTTTAGATTAAATATAAATGCTTTATTTGGGGAGACCTTATAGTCAAATAAGAAAATTGTTGGTGATTTAATGACTTTCTGCTTTCTTTAGCAACTATTAAAGATTTGTATATTTAGCCCATTGTGTGTGTGGACGGTGTGAAACTCAGATCAGAGCTGCACTGCCAGAGAAATTTGTTAACCATGAATCTGAATTAAACTGATGTCAGTGTGAATGCGGTTCAGAGCTGATTCGCTTCAGTTTGTCCGACAGCTGGAGGGGTTTCAGGCGATCGAGACGCTTTCATACAGGCTTCATCGATCCGGTCATGTGACTGTTAGTAGAATAAGTCTGTTCAGCATCTGTGGGAGATTATTACTGAGAGAATTAATAAAGTTTATTGAACAAACTTTTGCTGATTCTCGTGTTCGTTTGTGCTGAATGTCTCGTGATCATTCTTGCTCTCAACTACCAGTCTAGGACCTTTTGCACACTGTACTAAAAAAATAAGGACGTGCAGGAATCTTCCACAGGAAGATGATGCAACTGTAAAGGGGAGGTTTGTTACACTGTGTATAAATTAGATTTTGAATCTAAACTGTTCATTTTGGTTTGCAATGTAGCTACTGTTTGCTCTCAATGAAAGTTTGGGAAATGCCTCTGCTGAAACATGAACTGTAACTTTATTGGGAGAGATTCACATTATAGTTCTGTTTAAGTGTGTGTTTGTAGTGTACAACAAAATAGTTTTAAAATCAAAACTAATAGCAAGGCCACAAGCCAACTGAAAACTGTACGTAGCAACTCAAAATGTAAAAAATGAACGTAATATAATGTGTATATAACCTTTTCATAGAGGCTTTGTCAAACAGTTCATGTGACAGATAATCATTGGCTCATGCGGGTCATCAGTTAGTGTCTGATCGTGTTTATTTAGTGTTGTGCACCAACCAATCAGATTCCTCCTCTCATAGGTAACAGACAGACTTCACTAAAGATCACCCTTCTACACTTACAGGTAAGAAATCTCTTCACACAGTTGCGCGATATGAATTCAGAATCGTTAGAAAATCCTAGTTCTGATAAACAGTCACAATTGCGAATAATAAAGTCGCAATTCTGAAATATAAAGTTGCCATTCTGAGATATAAAGTTGCAATTCTGAGATATAAAGTCGCAATTCTGAGATATAAAGTTGCAATTCTGAGATATAAATTTGCAATTCTGAGATATAAAGTCACAATTCTGAGATATAAAGTCGCAATTCTGAGATATAAAGTCGCAATTCTGAGATATAAAGTCGCAATTCTGAAATATAAAGTCGCAATTCTGAGATATAAAGTCGCAATTCTGAGATATAAAGTCGCAATTCTGAGATATAAAGTTGCAATTCTGAGATATAAAGTCGCAATTCTGAGATATAAATTTGCAATTCTGAGATATAAAGTCGCAATTCTGAGATATAAATTTGCAATTCTGAGATATAAAGTCGCAATTCTGAGATATAAAGTCGCAATTCTGAGATATAAAGTTGCAATTCTGAGATATAAAGTCGAAATTCTGAGATATAAAGTTGCAATTCTGAAATATAAAGTTGCAATTCTGAGATATAAAGTCGCAATTCTGAGATATAAAGTCGCAATTCTGAGATATAAAGTCGCAATTCTGAGATATAAAGTTGCAATTCTGAGATATAAAGTCGCAATTCTGAGATATAAAGTTGCAATTCTGAAATATAAAGTTGCAATTCTGAGATATAAAGTCGCAATTCTGAGATATAAAGTCGCAATTGCGAGATTTAAACTCAATTCTTACTTTTTTTGGGCGCAATTGATAATAACTTTGACCTCCCTATTTCAATTAGCGTCTGAGCACCTGTCAGAAATGAGAAAACAATTTGCGAAGTACTTTACAGAAGATTATCGCTCTTTTGCGTGGGTTTGAGATCCGTTTGTGTGCATAGCAAACGAGCAATCAATTGATAGGCAGGAACAGGTTCAGAGGCGCTGATCCGCTAGACTCAGGGGAAACCCCGGGAGAGTATTGCAGCTCAGACCAGTGCATCTACGCCACTACCATCGCACACTCCATCCGACTGCGTCACCATGGCGGGAGTTGCTAGCGGTGGTCCTGGGCGTCCGTCACTTCAGGGCCTACCTCCTAGGCACCAGGTTCACACTGAGGACAGACCATGCTAGCCTCACTTGGATGCTGAATTTCCGCCAGCCAGAGGATCAGGTGGCAACATGGCTGGAGATCATTCAAGAGTACGACTTCGAGGTTCAACAACGACCAGGGCGGCAGCATTCTAACGCTGACGCCCTCTCCAGACCCCCTTGCTTTTAGCAGCGTTTCTACTGGCCGGGATGTTGGCAGGATACAGAGCTGTATGTTCATTGCTGCGATATTTGCACGGCACAGAAGGGACCCAGTCAATGCTTTCATGCGCCATTACAGCAGTACCTAGTCGGGGTGTCTATGGAGAGGATTGGGGTTAACATCTTGGGTCCATTTTCCATCACAGATGCCGGCAACCGTTTTGTCCTGGTCGCTATGGACTATTTTACGAAGTGGCCGGATGTGTATGCAGTGCCGTATCAGAGTGCTTCCACTTCAGCGCAGCGACTAGTGGACGAGATGTTTGCCCGGTTTGAGGTGCCGGGTGAGCTTCACAGTGACCAGGGGTGTAACTTTGAGAGTCTGTTGTTCAGTAAGGTATGCCAGCGATTGGGAGTGAAGAAGACAAGATATCACAAAGCGATGGACTCGTTGAGCAGTTCAACTGCACCCTGGCCACCCAACTTGCCATCTTGACCAGTCAGTACCAGAGAGACTGGGATCAGCATCTGCCTCTGGTCCTGTGGGCAGACAGGACAGCAGTGCAAGAGTCGAGTCAGTGCGCTCCGGTGGCGCTGATATTTGGGAGGAAGCTCCGCACACCGGTGGACTTGGTGTTCGGGTCACCACCCGAGCCAGAGATTGCTGGCGGGCCAGAATTGAATTACTTAAGGAAATTGAAGGAACGGCTGAGCACGGTCCACCAAATGGCCAGGGAGGCTCTAGGGGACGCTGGAGCCCACCAGAAACGGGCATACGATCCCCGGGCCCACGGGCCTACGATTGGGCCCAGGGACAAAATGTGGATGTTCTGCCCACAGAGGAAGCGGGGGTTGTCACCCAAACTGACTCATCATTGGCAGAGACCTGGGGAGATTTTGAACAAAATTTCCGAGGTAGTCTTCCGGGTCCGAATGCCTGTACGGGGTAGACAGGTGGTGCTTCATAAGGGCCGATTGGCACCGTACCACCCACTGGTCCCAGAGCAGAGAATATCCTGTAAGTTTCAGAACTGAAAACGTCCTTGTTTGTTCAATAAAAGCTTTTATTGACACCAGGCTCAGCAAATTACTTGTTTTTCAAAGTGGGGAACTATGACGTCAAAGAGGATAAAACACCACCTGTATTAAAGGCTCATTCAGTCGGGACTTTTATTCTGAAACCGTAGTCATGGTAACCTGCAGAACTGTGTACAGTCGTCAGTTCAATTGCCGCTATCTGCTGAGTGCATGTAATCTGTGAGAGCTGTCAGCTGTAATGTTGATTCCTGTTCGTTCAGGGTGATTGGTGCAACTCTAATATTGTGATGTTAGTCATTGCCCTCAAAGTAAGTCACTTTTATTATATTTAGGTTGATTTTGAGTTGTGTAACTTGATCTGAATAGAGTTAAGCGTCCGTGACATAAGTGCATGTCCGGACATGTCCTGTATAGATCGTTCTGTGTTATTCAGATCGGTAATAGGCTAGTATTATTATTTAGTATTAGGCTATTCCTTAAAGTGTGACGATTCATTCTTTATTAAGCACCATATCAGTGGTATGGGTTATTAATGAGGTGCTGTTAGTCGGTCTGTTAAGATGTTCTAATACTAGACGATCAGCGTCATGTTTGTCTGTATGCTCTGCATATGAGCCATACGATTATCCATATATGGGCACTGAATGTTATTGATGACAATGGCCCTCGCCGTGTGTATTTTTTTTCCTGTTTAATACTTCGTTTCAGTTTATTTAGCTAGATGTTTCGTAGAGAAATGTCAATAATGAGTATTCTGGATAATCATTTAATTATGTAACAGTGCATGCTTCTTATTGTATATTTAGTTTATTCATTCTCTTTATTGTACTTATTTTTCAGACTATGTACATCATTGAATATACAGTTGTGGCCCATCCATCTATCTACAATACACCAAATTAATCTGACCACCTGTCTCCTCATTATTTGTGCTCTTACCGGCACCCAGAAGGGTTTACTCATCCATTACCTAATCCAAACCTAACAGTCCAAAGCCTCTCCAACAAATTGGTCCTTCGAGCCGGATTGAGTTCTCCCTTCTGAAGTTATGGACTCTGATGAGGAGAGGATTGGAGGCACTCGCCCTAAGCGCAATACTCGTCCTCCAGCTTACCTACAACAGTATGAGGTACATTATCCCCGAGGCCGACCTGTCACTGCGCATGATGTTCCACACACCTGGGAGGCACCTGTCCACCGGACTCCTCCCCCATCCTTCCAGCCATACGCCTCTGCCTCTGGTGGTGACTTGGTATGTTCTGGTGGCTCACAGATCATGTCCTCTAGTTATATGCCTCCACAGCATGTTGTTTTTCCTCGGCAATCCTTCTTGTCGCCTTCGGCAGCTGATTTTACTACCTCTGTACATGTCAGTGATCGACAGCACTTGCGCCAGGAGCATGCTCAACTAATGCAGACACATCAGGCTTTCCAGGCTGACTTAAGGGAGTTGAGAGAAGTCCGAGCAGAAGTACGAGAATTAGTTCAGGTGGCTCAGTCCCTTCGAGTAGATCTCAGTAAAGCTAGAGGAGAGAACTTATCGCCAGCACAGCCGACAGCGTCTCAGTTATCCAGCCCTCTCCTGAGGCCATATGAATCTACAAACCTAGTGGAGGATGGACATGTCACTGAGCTTCCCCCACCACCGTGGCCTGAGCCTGATGTTGACCTAAGCACACGGTTGGATGACCTTGCTTTGTCTGATACCGGTGCCACAATTCACCTACCTGTGATGCCAGGGACCAGAAAGTATTCCTTTGTTTACCCGGCTACTCAGTCACGCCCTCCTAAACCTTATGCTCCTGATGTCTGGGGATTTCCCCCTCCTCCTACTCCTAAAGAGCTCCAAGAGCTGCTAACACCTGCCGCCATGCCTTTACCTGCTAGCCGCACGTCGGTGCCTATCTCCTCATGGTTCAGCTCTATGCCTGCTTATTCGATTCCTCCAAATTTAGCGATGAAGGTAGAACCCAATCAACCTCCTGCAGCATCTAGGTCTGAACATGTGTACAGAGGACCTACCCCTACAATTCCTAAGTTTAGCCGGCCTGAT